AAGAGCCAGTTATGCTAAAAAAGTTTGCAATGGTATCCTACGATGAGAAATGATAAAAGCATAATCCCGGGGATTTGACTCACTGAACAATTCTATGCATCAAAAAACTTGGTAATGGAGTGATTTGAATGGCTGCCGTATAGAAAAGGGAAGAGAATACAATGCAAAGTGCAATGTGGCTCTGGAATCAGAGTACCTGGTTTCAAATCCTGCTTTTGGAGTTAAATGTGTAAACTTGGATAAGTGACCAACATTCCCTGAACTCAGTTTCTTCATCTACAAAATGAGGGATTGGATCAGATGGCCTCTTCTAGTCCTAGGTCTATGATCTTTTGGAAGGATTTGTTCTTGGTACCAGAGGGCATAACCAGGAATTATAGTTATGAAGATATATTTCAGCCTGGGTTCTTAATAGTAAGAGTTGTCCAAAAGTTGAATAATCTTCCTTGAGAGCTAATAACTTCCTTTCCTTTGGTGTTCTTCAACCACGGACTATTTGCATACTTATTGATGACAGTGGAGATCAGATTCATTTTCATGTGTGGGCTGGACTAGATTAAATCTGTGGTCCCTTCCAACCAGAGTATACTGATAAATGTTTAACAATCAGCTCTCCAAAAAAAAAAAATATGTAGGATATACTTTTAAATTTAATATGTATTATTAATATTATCTCCATTGCTTTCTTAAGTTCAACAGAACACCTGATTTGTAGCATTTGCTGCTTTCTGAAGTATAAATATTCACACTGAAAATTTCATAAATGTCTCTCCTGAGCCTATAAGAAATGGCTCCAAAAAAAAAAGAAAAAAATAATAATAATAAAAAATGGGGCAGCTAGGTGGCGCAGTGGATAGAGCACTGACTCTGGAGTCAGGAGGACCTGAGTTCAAATCCAGCCTCAGACACATAACACTCACTAGCTGTGTGACTCTGGGCAAGTCACTTAACCCAAATTGCCTCAGCAAAAAAAAAAAAAAAAAAAAAATAAGAAGAAGAAGAAGAAGAAGAAGAAGAAATGGCTCCAGCACTCCTCTACTACCAATTCTGAAATTCTGTGAACTCACAGGGAAGCTGGTTTTGACTCAATAGGAAGAAGAATTTACTAACAATTTGATGATGTTCCCAAATGGAATGGGGAAGGAAAAAGCATTTATATAGCACCTACTGTGTTATGCCATTTACAAATATCTCATTTGATCCTTACAACTCTGTGAAGTAGGTGTTATTATCCTCATTTTACAGTTGGAGGAAACTGAGGCTAACAGAGGTTAAGTGACTTGGCCAGATCACATAGCTAGTGTTTGAGATTGGATTCGGAGCCTTCCTAACTCCAGGATCAGCACTCTACCTACCGTGCCACCTATCTGTCTCAGAACTGCCTTTTAAGTTTCCCCATAACTAGAAACATTTAAGCAGAGGATGAAGACCACTTTTCAGGGGTGTTTCCTGCATTTTGTGGGAAGTTGGATCAGCTGACTGCTATGGTTCTTTCCACACCTCAAATTCTGTGAATATAATTATTTGTAAAATATAGACAGATTTCTTCATGCATGCAACAAAAACATAAACGTGCTAAGATTATTGTGCTCTTACCTCTACATACCAATCCCAAGCTTAGCACTGTCTGTCCTCCAGCTCTGCCTTCCAATGAATGAGGGAGGGGAAGTGGGAGGGGGAGGGGAAAGAAATGATATAGGTAGGGGACAGTGTCTATTGAATGCTTGGGTAATGCCTACCTATGTAAATGTGATTCAAATTTCAGCATTATTCTAGAAAACTTTATTTTTCAGAAGAGTGCTGATATTTTATATTCAACTTAGTATGATAATAGCATGAAGACATTTAGAGAGCTCTACTACATCTCTAATTTTGATTCATACAAAAACATTGTTTATGCCTCCTAAGTATTTGTTGTTGTTGTTCAGGTGTGTCTGACTCTTCATGACTCCATGGACCATAGTACGCTGCTCTTCTCTTACTCACAAACATATCATCTGTCTACAAAGCAGCTTTCTTCAGAAGAAACATTAGCTTATTTCAGAGACAGAGATGGCAAAATATTGGGACAATAAAAATCCTTTGTTATTAGTTATTGTTATTTAAAATTTACTGAGAACCTAAACCAGAATGACACAAGATTCTAAACAGCAAAAGTTTTTTCTCCATGAAACTACAGGAGGGTATTTCAAATATGATTCCAATTCTCCTTGCATCTTTTGAAGTAAGGCTGGAACACATCATACAGAGATTGTGATTACCATCAGTAGTGTCATCATCAAATATGAATGATACACAGTGCAGGGATCAGAAATGGGAAGGGATACATTACAAAAGAGAAAATCTTCCTGCCTGGTACTACATTGAACATGGTCCTAGGGGCTTAGCTCCTATGAAGAAACCAAGTACTTGAGATGTAGGTGAAACTAGAACATGGGCCAGTCAGAAGAAAATTCAAAGCCTTCCACAAACATTTGGTGAATGTCCGTTGAATGCTAGGTCAACTAGGCCATTTGGCAAGACTTCATAGTAGTGTACAGGATAACCTGAGATAGACTGCATGCCTTTCCTCTGAGACTCAGCCTAGAGAGAGGTTCATTAATGACTTGGCTAAAGGGTGATGAATTTTTCAGCCACAGATGGTTTCAATAACCAGCTGACCCAAGTCAAAGAAGGGTTCTGGTTGAGGCTGAAGGGTGTACTCCCACCAATGAAATCACAAAGTATTGACATATTAAACAAGTTTGTGATGGTAAGATAAAATAAGGTAATGGTAATATTTATGGTCTCTCCAGAAAAGGGACTTAGCTCCTAAGTTTCTATGAGCATTGGCAAGAACAATTATTTCACAGTGGGTAAATAGGAAATCAAAGAAAGGTCACATATTGAGAACTACAGCTGAACTCCCTTACCTGTTACTATAGTTCCATTTTTTTCTGTGTTGTGTACCTGGGAATTGCTACCATACATATCTGAGAATAAAGAAGGCAATTTCTGAAAAATGAATACAAAAATTGTTATTCTTATTAAAAAGTATGGTAAAGCTGGTGAAATCCAAAGTGGTGAAAATATTATGAAATTATGGACCCTAGAAGCAATTATTGACTAAAGTGAATATGAAAAATGAGTAAAATAAGCACAGTTAATCAATGTGGCAGTAACTTAGTGCTGAACTCTGGACTTTTCACTTCTGGCCCATGTCCTCCCTATCCAGTTGGTTTTCCATACTCCTTTCTAATGTGAGAACTTACATGGAGATTCTTGTATATTGGGTATCCCAATTTCACTGGGCTACAAACAGCTGTTTCATTAGCACATATTATTCTTCATATTATATTCATATTGTGAATTATATTCATATTAGCAATATTATTATTTTGATTTTCCCTTAGGAATTACAGCTGCTGTTTAGGTAGATTTTCAGGCAGAAAAGGTAATAATTGATGCCATATGTCCTTAGACTAATGAGGATTTTTCTTAAGTAATGTTGGAAGTAGTTTCAAATGACAAAAGGTTGGCTTTTCCTATCCCCTTTTAAATTTACAGCTGGGATGATTAGGTGCCTTTTTTCTCTCATCTTTCCCATGTGACTTCATATCTCTAGTTCCAGGGAAGAAGTACTCAGAACCAAGTCTAATTCCATATCACTTTTTAATAGGACTTGTACAATAGTTTGTGATATCTGTATTTCTGCAAATCTCTCATTCCCTTTCAATTCTACAAATGTTTATTAAGCATCTATTATATCTAGCACTGTGCAAGTTTGTGAGGCTACAAATATAAAACAGCCCTTGCCCTCAAGAGACTTACATTCTATTTTTGTACTAAGTCAAATTATCAATAAAATAAAATAAAATCAAACCTAGAAACCAAGGCACTTAATAGCTTTTAGCCACTTTAATTTGCAGGTGTTTATTTTTAAAACATTTGGTCAGTCAAAAAACCATTGAAGTTGTCTTCTATGAGCCAGGGAGATACACAAGTATCTAGCTGGATACTTTGTATCCTCAGTGCCAGGTAAAAGTCCCTGCTCTCAAGGAACTTACAGTCTACTGGGGGAGATAATTATGTACAATCAAGCTAAACAATGTATATGATAAATTGGAAATAATGAACAGAGGGAAGGCACTAGAATTTAGAGGGATCCAGAAAGGTGCATTAGGTGGGTTTTTATCTGGGCCTTGAAGGAAGTCAAGGAAGTCAGGAGGTCGATGGAGATGAGTATTCTTTCATCAGTCTCACAAAAATTATGTGAATTTGAGGATCTTGTGTTATTCTAAAGCCTCATTACAGTGTATCAGTGACAACATCACACAGATTCAGAATAAAGGAAATAAGCTGCATTTGCTTGTCTTTTGGTTGTCTTTTACCACACTGAATCTTGCCAAAATCCTATTGTAAAGGTGTTAGTAATATATGTAGGTAAGGAACCCAGAAACACCATTCCTACATAAAATATGTTAGGGAACAAATACATTTAAAAACAAACCAACCCTCAGTGCTCTCATTAATGAATAAAAGTTTCGCAATTTTTTTTTTTTGACCAATTGAGAAATTAAAGAGCAAAGATCCAGGACTGAGCTTTTCCCATACAATTGCCCTTGGTTTGACAGAAAAAAATTACCTTGCTCTCTCTCCAGGAAGAGCTTGATCTGTTTGCTTACCGTAGTTCTCCAGTTATCTAGAGTCACGGGGAAAGACTACTTTTCCCCGCGTTTCTACCTCTTCTCGGGTTGATCTTCCATTTCTCCTCCTCCATTCAGTAAACTTAAGATGCATTGAGGGCAGAGTCTGAGCCATCCTGTTCTCCCCGCCCATTTCCCGCTCCATCCCTAATTGTTCTTTGCCCAGGCGCCCGCTCCTGCTTCCCCAGCTTCTCTCAAACTCCCCCTCCCCCTCGTGTTTTAAAAGCCTTTCCCTTCCCCCTCCCTTAGTCCCTCACTCTCCCTGCCCCCTCCTCCTCCTTGCTCGCCTTGTGACACATCCTGGGCTCTCCCCCTCTCAGCAGCAGTAGCCGGTACAGCAGCAGCAGAGGCGGCAGCCGCTGGCCCCTCAGCCTCTCTTCCCAGCTGAGCTCCTGCTGCAGTCATGGCTGCTGATGGAGTGGATGAACGCTCTCCTTTGCTGTCAGCATCCCATTCTGGAAATGTCACTCCGACCGCCCCGCCGTATTTGCAGGAAAACAGCCCTCGAGGTAAGGCAAGCAAGGTTGCTTTTTGCTTGGCAAGGAAAGGGCTGGAATACTGGAAACCGGGGACCTTGGTCTCTGAGAGCTAAGCCTTTCACTTGGGTTTGGTGGGGGAGGTTTGGAAGAGGGAGGAGGTGAGGGAGGAGGAGGAAGAGGAGAAGGAGCTGGAGGAGGAGAGGTGCGGGGAACGACGGTGTTTATTGTGTCTTTCAAAGCCGGGGAGTCTTGCAATTATTACATTACATTGCATTGCAGGGCTTTTCTTTTGTGCGCGTTATCCAAGTACTTTGCACTGGGAGGAAAAAAAAAAAAAGACCTGAAATGTATTTCCTGAGTGGGACTTTGCCTTTTTGCTTGAGACCTAAGTGTACTAAAGCTGGTTGCAAATCTTCCACAATCATTCACAAATCTCTTAGTGGTGCTGTGAAACAGGGACTGCTGCTCACCTTGATATCTGCCCTTGAAAGGACTAAGCTTGGAAAAATATGCAGCATGTCTTGATTTTCATTCGAATCACCACCTCCCCACTGCCTCCTACCACCCACCCAAGTCCGCCTGCTACTGCTCTGGTGAATCAGGAATTTCCTTTAGCAAAAGGGGTTGGTTCATACAACCGAAGTAGGAAGATGTTTGGGTTAGTGTATATCTGCAATTTCAATTTTCACAGAGTAAAGAAAACATATTATTCTGTGGTCCTTAGAAGTGGTAGTTTTGGGTGTGGGAAGGGGGAGCAGCCACAGTTTAGAGGGGAAGAGATCGTGTGTTTGATGCACACCTGGGTGATAGGAAATTAACTTCTCAAAAGTGACCTCTTGTCATACACCAGAAGACCCAGTTTATACTGTCAACATTCCCATCCTATTTCCTAATCAAATAATCATATATATTGTTAATATATCATCTCATGAATAAATCACAAATATTTGTATTTTTTGGGGGGGGGTGAGATCATATGGTGCGCCTCTAAAGTCTCTAGTTGTCACCTCTACAAAAAGAAAGACGAGTGTGTGTGGGGGGCGGGGTAGGTTATTTTCATTTCAGTGAAGTGAGAGGAGAGGACTGTTTTACCTTAAGAAACAACGCTGAAGTGAGAAAGACTTGGTCAGCTGGCAACTGCTGATGTAGCTTACTTAAGTGACTGTATCCCGTTTGGCTTGGATGTAATTTGGGGGAAGTATGGAAAGCTTTAGGAGACAACAGGACAGTGCTTTCAAAAAGAAGGACAGGTCGTGTTTCTGGTTACACTTAACTTTTTTTTTTTAGTTCTAGTGTGAAATAGGAGCAGCAGCAGAGCAGGTTGAACTAGTCTAGTTAAAAGGCTCATTTAACACATTATAGCTTCAAAGGTGACGATCTAGACCACAAATCCTACAAGAAACAGGAAAGAGGGGAAAAAAAATGTTCACCTTTGAGCAACTCAGGATGATAGATTCTCACATGCTGTGAGAGGTGGGACAAATGACACAAGATGGATACACATTTAAGAAGATGACTTATTTATTTTTGTTGGTCAGGAAAAAAAAATGCTTGTATCTGGGTGGTGAAATTTCCCTTCTTGGGCAAGTTCAATATTAAAATTTTTAATCTTGTTACAATTTGGGTTGACTGAGATAGGTTGACAATTGTCAACAGAAGGTTCAACTTCATAAGCTTCTCCCTTTAAGGGAGTATATTGGAGTCTGAATCATTGTCCTTTAACTGTTCTATTTTATCTTTGCTCCTCTTTACTTTGAGGGAGGTATTTTTGGATTATTGAAAATGATAAAGTGGTACATCATTCCTAAAATGTTCAAGATCATGAAGCCTCAGTGATTGCATATAAATAATACTTGTCAAAAATTTTACCTTGTGTCCCAAAAGTCTTAGTGTAGTTTTAAGCTTAAAACTACACTAAGACTTCTGGGACATGCTGTATAATGCTTTAAAGTTTGTAAATGCCTTACAAACTTGATCTGTACCATAAACCTCTAGATACTACAGGTCTTATTATCCCCATTTTTTTTACAGATGAGAAAAATGAAGTTCAGACACCCTGAAGTTGTAACACTCTGCCCTCATGGTACTAAGTGTCAAAAGTGAGATTCAACCTCCATATCTCTTGAACCTCAAGTCCAACGCTTATTCCCAACACACTGTAGCAGAGGCTTCAGATTGGCAATTTACTTTCAGGAAACTTGGAATCCTTAAGCTTAAGAGGAAGACTTGAGGAATAGGAGATTGTCCCCTCCGCCCACCCCCTGCCCCCACCATTAACACTAAGTGACTGAGAGAAGATAAGCAGCCAAATGAATTAATTTTGTATGGTTAAATGGCTAGGGATCAAAAATGATAAATGATGAATAAAGATATATTATATTAACAAGTTTTTAAACGTAGTTTAGAGGTGTTTTCTTAGTGACTAGAACAATGTTTTCAGTTCTGCCCACATTAAACAATTCTGATACTATAGTTCTTTCTAATCCAAAACAAAGGTTTCAAAACCATAGTAGATCTTATATATGGTTTGACTTAACTCTGCAAGGCAAGGTCTAGTCCTTATCATTTTAAATTATAGCATTCAAAAGAATTTAGCCTATAATAGTGGAACTAACCTCATCTGAAGCTAGTATTACTAATACTAATCTTTGTTTTTGAAGTTGCTTCCATTTACTTTTCATCTGACCTCCTTTTAATAAAAAGTAACAACGGATGAGGAGAGAGGGATAAAACTAGATACCTCACTGTTTATGCCTACTGTAGAAAGATACTGAATCTGAAATCCGTGCTAAGACTCAGCATTTTAGGTTGAAAGTCATTGGAGTGTTTATTTCAAGATAGGTTATTAATAATGTAGAAGCCATGAATCAATGTGAATAGGTTTAAACCCAGAGAGAATCATCTCCAGTCTGAGTGACAATCTAATTCAGACTATAAGTGGAATGACTGGAGAACTGTCTACAAAATCTGTACTGGGTATCTGTCCAGATCCTACAGTGGTCCCTTAAAGGGGTTCAGTGGCTTCAACATTCCTTTGGGTACCCTGGTCGACCTGTGAGGGAGTGACAGTAATGAAAGGGGAAGTCAGTGTGAAGCTCATTTGGAATTTCAAGCTCCATGTTCTGGATTTGTTTAGTAAATTTATTAACAAATTTGATAGTCTAATAGGCAGGGCATAGTATCAATAATATGATCTCACTTTTTAAGAGATGTCTTTCATAGGCTCATAGAACTGGAAAGGACAAGACCCTGATGTCTTGTCTGATAAGTCTGGTAAGTCTGATCTCCTTATTTTAGAGATGAAGAGAACAAGACCCAGAGAACTGAGTGGAATATATAATAAAATTCTACATAGGTAGTATATGCTAGGGTCAGGATTTGAAACCAGAGCTTTTCATTCAAAATCCAATGCTATTTCTATAGCACTTTCTATTAGCTACACAATTATGTTTAGAGTTTTCTAACTATAAGCATGGTAACTGTGGGAATAAATTTTTAGACAATATTAATTCATAGATAGCTAGGTGGTACAGTGTATTGAGTGCACAGACTTCCTGGAGTCAGGAAGACCTGAATTCAAATTTGACTTCAGACCCTTCCTAGCTATGTGACAATGGATAAGTCCCTTAACTGCTGTCTGCCTCAGTTTCCTTAATTATAAAATGAGGATAATAATAGCACCTACCTCCCAGGGTTGTTGTAAGGATACAACAACTGTGCTTAGCACAGTCCCTGGCACATAATAGACAATTAATCAGTGCTTTTTCCTTTCTTTCTTCACTACTATTCCTAAGAAAATGCTAGATATTTTATCAGAGAGAGTTTTTTTTGGGGGGAGGGGGTTGCATTTTTAGAAACAATTTGAGTTTTATATAGTAGTTCCTATTAGTGCTTTCTAATAATTTCCCATTTGAACTCAAATGTAACAGATAAATAACTTTTATTTTAATTATAAAACTTATTTTGAAGTAATTTTATTTTAGTCACACAATAAAAGAGGTGATAGTACTTTATGATGATACACATTCAGATCTCTGATGAAACAGTGTTAAATTCCCTTTGCGATATTTATTTTACATTTTTAATTATGTAAAACTGAAGTTGAGGAAGTACTTTTTTCATTGACTAATAAAGTAACCTTTACAACTGTTTTAGAGAAAGAAAAATATTTCATATATAGCCTTCTCTTTGAAATCTATCACATGTATTTAATGATTCCATTGTGTTGAATAGAAAAACTGAGGCACAAAGAAGTTGTCTGGAATATAAGGCCATATATTAAGAGTAAGGAAAGTTTAGAGCTAGAACATTGTTCTGTTGCAGGAGTAGTTAGGTGGTATCTTCGACAGAGTACTAGACTTAGAATCAGGAAGAGAGTTCAAATTCTGCTTCAGACACTGTGTGACCCTGGGCAAGTCACTTAACTTCTATTTGACTCAGTTTCCTTATCTGTAAAATGGGGAAAATAATTTCACCTACCTTTCAGGGTTATTGTGAGAATCAAATGAGATAACAATTTTAAAGTGCTAATCATAGTGCTTGGCATATAGTAGGCACTTAATAAATGTTTATTTATTGATTGATTATTCTTATTAAGTTATATACTAGCTGTGTGACCTTGTCCCTTAATCTCTCTGTTTCCATATCTATAAAATGGTGATAATAGTACCACCTACAATCAGTCAGTAAATATTATGCCTGCTATGTGCTAAGTTTCAGAGGAATCAAAGAAAGACAAAAGACAGTCTTAAGGATCTCATAGTTAATGGGGGAAACATTAGATTGTGAGCTACTTGAGGGCAAGGACTGTCTTTTGCCTCTGTTTTTGTATCCCAAGTGCTTAGCCCAGTGCCTGTCACATAATAGGCCTTAATAAATGTTTATTGGCTGACGTGAAAACAATTATGTAAAATTGGATATATAAATTTTAGAGAATCAACAAAAGGTCATTGTGAGCATCTATTGAGATAATAAGTATAAAGTACATTGTAAACCTTAAGGCCCAATATAACTTCTAGTAATTATGATGA